CTCCATCTCCATGTTGGGAGAGAGAGAGATGGCAGATGGCCATTGTATAAGCCACATAAATTGTTTAAATAAATATATTAATTATGCGAAAAGGTACGGATGATCAAGAAACCATGCACCGAATTTTCTTTTATTACAAAAAACGACGTAGCTTTAGTTGCTTATCTAACCAATTGTCAGTACACCATTTTGGGAGAAAAGAAAACTACGTCTAGTTCAAGAAACCACATTGTAATCCAACATCTACGCGGACGAGAAGCAAGTTGAAGTTCAGTAACAACTCACAAGTATTTTAAAGTTCAGTGAGTAGATCGTGACACAAATATAAATTCATTGACTAATGAAACATTTAACTCTAACAACCGTATATATTATTAATCTTTTGTCTTACATATTCAGTCATTCATGTATATGAAATCATAGTAAGGTATTTACTTACATGTTCTCCTCACAGCTTTGATTATCTCCCTTTCAGAATTGATAGAGAAATGTTGTGTAATCTAGGATATGCGCAAAATAATAAGATTATAAGCTCCAATTTGGTTGATTCGGCTAAAAAAATTGATTAAAATCTTATTCAAAAAAGCCAACAATTAATTTTAATCACGCATTTAATGGAATCTACAACTTTTGAATCACATTCCATCATTTTTTATCAAAATATACTATAATTTTGATTCTTATCTAAATCAAACATGGGCTAAGAGAAAAACTAAATGTTGATGATCGACGGAATTGCTATGATACCACTTGTTAAAAATGACGTATTTCTCCAATCCACTTTTTGTAATTCAAGATTGAAATATCGAAGTTGTATAGTAAAATATGAAGTATATGATTGTAAGTAAAAGAATAATAAAAGACCAGAAATATGGCTGAGAAATTTGAAAATTTTATTGACTCATGAACAATAATGAATTGATATGAAGTTCTATTAATCATCGAGACTAAACTATCAAATATTCTCAAAACCTCTTAACATGTTGAATATATATTTTTGTGGAGATATAATGGGGAATATATATCTTTTTGGAGTTCTAGATGAAGAAAACATAAAATCCTGAAAAATGGAATTAAAAATACCATCTTGGTGCCTCAGCGCCTAGGGCAGGAAGGGGCGTCGGGCGTTTTGCCCCCTTTTTTTTTTTTCGTTCCAAGTTGTTTTCTTCCTCTCAAAATCATTTTCCAAGCCAAACTCCCAATAGGGCTTCCAAATAGAATTTCAACTTGAATATGATTCAAATAGTATTTCAAACTGAATTTCTCTTGGCGTGCATTTCAATTTAGAATTCTTCAATTTTTTCAACAAGAAATTCGAATCACACTTAAATTATAACACTAAACATGAGAACCAAAAGAGTTCAATGGAAGGGATGAGGTTAGGAGAGAAACGATGAATCCAAATCATTGTACCAGCACTGGATGGAAAAGAGGAGGATTGGTCCAATTAAATATTTGATAAAACTTTGCTAAAAAGTTACCAAAATTTCAACAGATCAAACATTAATTAAACTACATATTATGAAATTCACAATTTTTATTAATTTTTCAACCACATATTTCATCAGCTTTTACTAAAAGATGTACAAAAGTTTTTTTT